CTGGTTGGGAACTCGAGATATTTTATATGAGAATTTCATGTGTATACTAGCGTCGCGTAGTGAGCAAATGCTGAACTATTGAGCACCAAGCAATAGGATTTTACCTCCTGAAAAACTTTGTGAAAGACAGTAACTTTCTATCTGGTCAGGATCTCGAGATATATCACATGCGAGAATTTCACATGTATACTAGCGCTATGTAGTGAGAAAATTCTGAACTACTGTCCGCCAGCGACAAGGTTATGAGCTCCTGAACAACTTTGTCGGAGACACTAACTTTTTATCTGGTCAGGATCTCGATATATTCCATGTTGTAATCAATGAAGTCAAATCCCACGTAGTATGGCCACAGTTTACACGGTTTCCATTTACATTTTCCCTATTATCCGCAGTTTTTAGGTGTTTACTGTAATCAAAGCTTAGCTTGTTTAGATCAAAGCAAGTTTTTTGAGGAATACTCGTTGGTTTCAGATCGATTGGTAACTCACACGGAAACAAATCCGATTCCATTTTCATGAATAAGAAATCATGAAATGGAAAAACTTGCCATCCCATGAAATCATAACAATGATTCATGATTTCGTCATGGAAATTCATGATTTCATAATGCAGTGGAATCAAGGCCGCTACAAGCGTTACACGTACTTGGCAAACCGTGTTCATAAACCGCACTACATAGGTATCTCTTATACGCCTTTTGTCTTCCGTTTAATACAAGTACTGATAGTCTAGTGGTCAAAGAATGGGTTTAATAATCTCAAGGTTCTTGGTTCGAATCCAGTCTGATGCTTTTTTCTATTCTTTTTACATTTTTTTGGTAAAAGTTAAACCCATGAATTTTAGATCATGATTTGAAATCGGATGATTCATGATTTTGGGAATGTTTGCTGCGTTACGCAAAAGTTGCTCATGATATCATGAATATTATTCATGGTGTATTTTCATAACATGAAAATACGCTTTGTTCATGAAATCATGAGTCATTTTTCTCATTTCGGAGATCGGATTTTTTCCCGTGCAGCAACAAAATGGCAATGGAAAACTCATGTGTGTTGGACAAAGTACAACAGCGCGAGTAACGGAGGGTTAACTCTATACTTTCATCTTTTCATCTACTCTATACAATAACCAGTTTAAATATGAAATTCGACGTTAATCATCTCCAACTACTCCAGAATAGTTTGGATGGTTTAGAACATTAAATAATATTTTCGTTCATTTCAAATAGGAAATTTAAAATAACCCAATAGGATTTTGTAGAATGAAATTAAAATAGGGGAATTTACGTATTCTCGGCAACCTAAGCAGCGACCATCTTTCTATAGCCTTTTTCTCTAAGGAACGCACACATATGCAGTATTGGTTTGTTTACAATCTTTTGCTGCCAGCTGCTCTAACAATTTCAGTCGAAAGAATTGTCAAAAACTGTTTTGAAACGCTTTTACAAAGCTCCAATCTTCACTAGTGAGAGCGAGTATTGTCGGCAACCAGTTTTTCTTCGGCAACCGTTCCATTTGAACTGCATGTAAATCTGCTGTTCTATTATCGGCAACTCGAAATCAGCTACAATTTGTAGTGCGTGTGTTGCATTTCAAGAAAACCTTGCTAGATTGCTATTTCTCAGTGGTAAAAATATAGTCGAATTGAAGCTGAAAACATAAAGAATCGTTTGCATGCATTCAGCGAAGTGTTTTCGTAAGAAAATCCAATGAAAATAGTGTTTCAATTTAGGTTGCCGAAAATAGTCTGTCATGCCGAAGCCGTCATTTCCCCTAGTATCTAACCAACAAACAATTGAGAGCTCTTATAAAACACCTAAGTTGATCAAACGTTGAATAATAGCTTCCAGAGTTGAACAAGAATGTAGTTGTAATGCCATTTGATTAAAAGTTTTAAAAGCTGTTGGAGCACTCTTAAATGATTGTTTACGTTCGGTTTACCTATATGCTTTAAAAGACCTACGATAACTTTTATAGTACCTTAGTTAAACCGATTGACAAGAGCTATATAGTACGTGGAATAAACGCATCAAAACAAACCATTGGGAGCTCTTATAAAACACCTGAGTTGATCAAACGTTGAATAATAGCTTCCAAAGTTGTACAAGAATGTAGTTGTATTGCCATTTGGTTAAAAGCTTCAAAAACTGCTTGGAGCACTCTTAAACGATTGTTTACGTTCGACCAACCACCAACCACAATTTTGTTGCTTAAAATAGCACAAGTGATAGGCACGTTTATATGACCATAAGGCAATGATTATTCGACTGCAAGAGAAGTCACTCAAGATGAGCTTCATATACTTCTCTCATATGATCAAAATATGTATTCAAGAATAGAGCAGATGGAAACAGAAGCGGCTGGCAATCCGGAATCATGAGTTCGAATCTTGCTTCGAGAAACCCTCGGTGGAGTAGAGGTAAATTATATATAGGTGTTATTAATAAATGCAAACATTAATTTAAGACATATATCATATAATCAACGATAACATTTCTAGATAAATTCTCTCAATTAATGATTAGAGAGATTAATTGAAAGAATATCAATCAAAGATTAAACAGATGCTTGTTACTACTTCCTCCATGATCACAGAATGTAAATTATGGCATAATTACATATTTTTTCAATGTGCACAAATAAATTAAATTAATAAAAACTGTACAAGCAATTATTTTGGCGTACCACGACAATTGTTAAACTAATTTTAATCTGTGAATATTGTGAGTACTTACACAACGGTTATTAAGGAGTCATTAAAAAGTGATATAAACGCTTTTCACCGCTAGCTGTATAGTGATTATTTAGGAGTCATTAAAGAGTGTAACAAACGCCTCTCAGGTTCAATCTCTAATACATTTCGAAGCAGCTGTTAGGAGGTGTCTACAAACGTTGTATAAGAGCGTTCACCAAAATAATAAAGCTTGAGTTTAAATACGTATCTATAAACGTTGTATAAAAGTTGCTTCTACTCCTATACCGCGTATACATATAATGCTGTAGTTGAACAGGTTCTCCAAACCAGTGTAAACAAGAGTTTTACAGAAGTTGTAATAAACAAATTGTACAGTTATTATTCAGCATGCAGTTGAATAAAATCACAATGGAAGCGTTTCTTCAACAAGAAATTGATTTTGGTTAAACGTTTTACTGAATACGTTAGACAACACCTTTGTGTTGCAGTTGTATAGGTTCTCCAAACCAGTGTAAACAAGGGTTTTATAAAAGTTGTGGTGAACACATTGTGCAATTATTATTCAACATGCAACTGAACAAAATCAAAACGAAAGCGTTTCTTCAACTGGAAATTGTTACTTGGGTAGTTACGAATAGGGGTACAATGATAAAATTTTGAGTTCATTAATTTCGATTAGAATTGAAGTTCCATTCGAGACTTTAATCTTGATTTTATATCTAATTCCGTTATCTTGGAAGTTAGTTAGTCCGAGACATCGAAAAAAAAAAAAATCTGGACAAATGCTTTGTAATTTCCCTTTTTCATCAAACATTAGAATGGGGAAAATCAACATCCGCTAGGTACCTTAATATATGATAAAAATAAAATAAAATTTCATGCATTTTCTATTTATTTTTCGAAGTATTATAGTCTAAATTTTATTTTTATTCTTATGTCGAAGAATTTTTCTCTGATAAAATTATTTAAGTCTCAGAATCCAGGTGAGCTTCCCAAGATGTTTTGGAGTCCGGGAGATTCAAAGCTGGTCCATGAGCTCGAAATTTTTGGTTATCTAAGTCTTAAAACTATGGTAAATGATAAAATTTTGCGGTTTTTTTTATTTACATTTGAATTCGAAGGATTTATACTTACAATCTGTATCAGAGATGTATATTTTTAGATACAAAATCTTGAGCACATTTCCATATTTCAAAGTCAGATATTTTGGAAGTTAGTTATTCAAAGTCCTAGAATTTAATGTTGGTACCTTTGTCTGAGATTAATTTGATGATTAAATATAGAAGATCGAAAAAAGTATAGCTAAAAAACTCATGGAACTATCTAACTCTGAGAATTATTCAACATGGGAATTTTCTTAAATTTGAGGTTCTTAAAATCCTTATTAGATCCAGATAATATGTAATTTCATTTCAAAATGCTTGAACAAATGATCATTGCTTGTTCAAAATAAATAAACTTTTAAGGCTCCCCCAAGCGTTGTTATGAAATAAATATAATACTATTTAAATTTTCACCATTTAAATAATAGTAAGCTTCGCCATAATAGATCATATTATTGGACGAAGTGAAAATGTATCGAACAGGAAAATAAAATAACAAATAGCCTTGACGCCTTTTGATTGAATAGCTGTTCCAGAGTTACTATTTAATCGTAGTTTAATATAACCATAAAAATGCCCTTTAGGCCCACCCTAGGCCCCCTCTGCCAACATCACCGGATTATCGCGAAATAAAGCTCAATCTCGTTACCAAATACGAAATGATAGATACATCATTATTTTACCTGATTGTTTAATTAGTTTTAGAGATTGAGTTTTTATTCGAAAAAAAAATCGGTGATTGACGTGTTTGACTACAAGAGCAAATACGCTCAAATCTCGAATCACTTTTAGCTGAACAGGTTAAAATCAGCCTCATATTCCAATTTTTGTTTGTATAAGCTGTTCTGCAGCAGAAATTACGTGAGAAACTTGCCAATAGACTCAATCGTTTGGATAATTTGGAACTATTTCTAATTCGGATTTAGATGTTACGGATTCTATTTCGGATGTTACGAATTAACTCGTTTGATTCTAAACAAAATTGTTTAACTTCTTCAACAAAGCTGCATGTATTTTGAATCGTTACTCAAAGTTTCGGTTGGCTGTGATTGAATCATACCGTTTAACAAGACTCAAACTGTTGTTTACTTAGGTTATCCATTAGGCAAGATGACCAGTAGCTCAAATTACAGGTAGAGTATATTCTTGAGGTTTGATTCAGGTATTTGAGATGATAGGTATGGTTTAATGGTGCACGACAACGCTCTTGACGACTGGGACAGAGTGGACTGGGTGGACGGAGTGGACTGGGTGAACGGAGTGGACGACTGGAGCGGCTACAACGGTCTTGGCCAGAACTGGGGTATGGTGGACAGCGTGGACAGAATGGACCACTGGAGCGTGATGGACAACTGGGACGGCCTTGACGACTGGAGCGTGGTGCACGGCAACTACTGGAGCGTGGTGAGCAACAACGGCATGCTTAACGACTGGCGTGTGGTGCACAACGTGGCTGTTGGTTTGGAAAAATTTGGCGTTAGGAGGTGATTCCTAAGGGATCATGCAAAGTACTTACGAGGACTGGTGGCTGACAGCAACTGGGGCAGCATGAACAGCATGAACCACTGGGGAGGCGACGACGACACCTGGAGCTGGAGCAGCAACGGCGGCGGCGATCAGGCACGAGAAAACGAACTGTAACAAGGATTCAAATGAAAATCAGTTTCCTGGATAAAAACACTCCAACAGTCCATTCATCCAAACACTAGCACTTCTAATATCACTCCAACACTCTTTAGATCACTGTGTTTGATGATTAATCCAATGTTAACGAAATAATTGATACGCACCAGTTTGTACATTTTGATAGTTCTGTTAACTTATTAACAAAAGTTGACTTAGTTGAGATTGCTTTGCTAAATGCGAGTTGACTGACGATTGGTGGCTAGTTCAGGTAGCTTTTATAGTGGAAGATTGCCATAACCGTCTGCCTGTGATCACACGACAAAACAGGACCTAAATCTCTCTCGTTCTCTCGGTTGAGCTCTCCTGGAGCAAGCTATCGCCTTCGACAATCATGCGGTAGCAATGCACACGGACAGAAGAATAGGTTCTCTGCATATAGGTTTCGTTCATTCATGCATTTTCATTTGTGGTAAAATTGCTGTGATGTACACGGATTATTGATATAAACGTTGAATTGATTATAAATAATCAATTGATTGTTTTTGCTTTTCAACTTCCGGTTGCACATTGTTTTTTTTTGGCAGCAGCACAACTTATAAAACATCCTTTAGTAAATCCCATAAACAATATGGACGCTGATTGTTTAAATTATGTAATGCCTTACTGCAACAAGAAAGCCTTAACGTAGCACAACTAATAACAATTTAAAGTCAATCATCCTAATTGTACCTGTTTGTTTCCATAATGTATCATCCAGCAGAATCGACCGGCAATTTGGGCTTTTATGCTTCAACTGTTTTGAAAAATAACCTGCAAAATAAGTGGAGCAAAACTTGTAACCTCGATTCGATTCAATAACGCAAAACGTTTCGAGAAGGACTCGACAAAAATTGCCCTCTGTTTAGTTGTTTACTTCATGCCGCGCCGTATAATCAACCCTGAACGATTGATCTGAGACATTGTCAAAAGCTTGTAACGCAAGTAAATGTTGTAATCAAAAATTATGCTATTCACACCTCCGCAATTGGAATACATGGACGACAGCAGTAATGAAACGTAAACAATCGATACAGTCAGTGCAAGCTAGTTGAGCTAGGTATTTCCCTGATCGCGGCCAACGTGTGCCCGCACGCGCAAACAGGGTTCAAACCAGTCAAGTTTACCGAGATGACATGTGCACAAAAGGGGGCCCATCGCGGTTCTCTCCAGCGAACCGGTGAAATGTTGAAGACCTAGAGAGAACTACGATCGCAAAAGGAACGAAAACGCGTGCAGGCCTCAGTGGATTGGATCGCATTGCTTTGCAGCAGCCGCACATAGGAGTATTTGACCCAAAAAGTTGGTCAAAAGTCCGAATTCCGAAATGTGTGAATCTCATGATTTTTTGTTATTTTTGTAACAACATATTGCAGTCATAGGTAATCACTTTGTCTTTTTTAAAAGTGCATTCTGACATTCTGAGGGCGGAACAAATGGATAAAAATTCGAATAAAATAGATGTGGTTTAACATCGGTAAGCATGCAAAAGGTAAAATTAATGTTTTTCAATAACTTTCAGGTATAAATACGTAGAAAAGACGCTTTTATTGTTACGGAAAATGACAATGAAAATAGACACATAAAACATGTAACAATAAACTATCGACTAAGTTAATTGACTGACCAAAAAGAAATATTGAAACCTATTGAACATTGTGGCAGATGCAAATGTTCCTACTGCGTCCTCTTTGCTAATTTCTTGACAATTTTCATTGCATTCATTTTTCAGAGTCTAGAACGACGTACTTGAGTATATTTAGAGTATTTTGATAATCGTCCGCATAAACGTGAACCATAACTTGACCTTACCGTAAATGGTTAAAAATTGTTTATAATCTTTCCTAAACTTTAACTGAAATGGTTATGGAACTTTACATGGATGTTTGTGTGATAAAGTTTTAATTTTATGTACTATGTTTTTTTTGGAAATGAACCTTACCAATAAGGGTTTTTTTTTCCTTTGGTTTGTTTTTTCCGTCGATCTTGTTTTCCGTGCTGAGCACCAATGCTACCGACGTGCCAGGAAGGCAGCTCCCACACCTGGACCCTACCTATCGACCCATCAACTCATGAACCGGGGACCAACGGCTTTACTTCCCATCCGAAGGAAGCCGTGATCAGAGATGTTATGCTTCAGAACATCCCGGCGGCGCTGACTGGGATTGAACCCAGGCCTGCTGGGGTGAGAGGTAATCACGCTTACCACTACACCACCGGCGCCGTTAACCAATAATGGGTCGTTAAGAACCATTAACATTCCAAATTCTTGTTTTCTCCAAACATTTACGGAAAGGACACTATATTAGAACCTTTATATGGTTTGAGAACTCTAATGGTAATAGTTATGGTAATCAGTAAGGTCCATGGATAGTTTTGAATTGTCGGTCAACTTTAGGTGGAATATATCGCAAATTGGTAATCATTAATTTACAGGCAACCTATTCGCAATATATTCCACATAAAGTTGATCGATGTTACAAAACCATCCATCAACCTTGCTGACTAACATAACCATTATCATTAAAGTTCTCAAACCATAAGTAAAAAGGTTCTAATATAGTTTTCTTTCCATGTATGGAGAAAACAAAAAGTTTGAATGATAATGGTTCTTAACAACCCATTATTTGTAAGGTTCACTTTCAAAAAACCATAACACAGAAGGTTAAAACTTTATCACACAAACATCCATGTAAAGTTCCATAACCATTAGTTATGGTTAAAGTTAAAGGTTAGCAAGGATTATAAACAATGTTCAACCATTTTCGGTACGGAAAAGTTAGGGTTTGCATTTATGCGGGCGACAGTGACATAATATTGCAACATGTCAAGAGAAAATTTTCATTACGTCGAAAGTAGCAAAGGTTAACAAAATCGAGCTATCAGTGTCAATCGATGATATTGCTATTACACTATATACTGTCCGGATATAGGATCAGATCCTATTTTTTAATTTATTTACCAGTCAAATTGCCTTTTGGCGTAATCACCTTCCGATCAAAATATTTTTCGATGTTACTTCTTCGATGTTTGTCTTAAGTAACAGCATAGAGAAACCCGTGAAAAGTGTACATTCGTCGTTTCGCTTTCTCATTATTAAAGTGAATAAATTGAACTGTTTGTTACTAAGATAATTTTGGCGGTCCTAAAACGATGAATGGACTGCACGTAAGGAGACATGATTGATAATTCTCCCGAATATCCTGGTAAGTACACTTTGACTTAAGTAACATCATGGGGTCACCAAACCACGTATAATAACTTTTGACTCCAAAACCAGTGTTTTGATGTAGGATTACGTTTATCGGCAACATATTGGGGGTACAATTTCTAAAAAACAAAATCACTTATAACTCTGTCAATAGCGGATGGATATTAATTGTAAACAAGCCAATCGATTGGAATGTCATCTACAAATCTGCTAAAATGAACACGTTATCAATTTTTAATAGGTCTCTATTGAAAATTGCACGACTGTGCAACTGTTGCTATAATAATGAAAATTATCACCGATTGACTGCGAAAAGCACTTTCCCTAACACAGATTTAAAAATCGAATTCACTCCGGTCTCACCGAACTGTGTTCATTCAATCCCCGCCTGTGGTGAGTGGTGGTGTCCAGTGGTCATCATCAGCACCAACAGCAGTGCTTTCGGTGCGTGACGTTGTAGATTGTTCTCCAGTACACGACGAAAGGCTGCCCGCAAGCACGAGCTGCAGCCCACTGAGCGATCCATTAGCCGAAGAAGGAGAAAGAAGTTGCACCGCTACTGATCAGATTTCAGTTGCTCGTCGTGAGCCACTGTGGGCCATCTATGCCAAGCGCGTCACCTTTCCAAACAATATACAGCTCGTCAGCCTTATCTGTGTAATTGACCTGAGTACTGCGGAGTAAATCGATTTCATTTCGCAAGCCAATGGAAAACTGCTTGAAAATTTGTTTAAGCTTAAAATTGTTTTGTTCTTTCTCAGTTGATTCCCGCCAAAAGCTCTGAGCCAGGAGTGCTCGAGCCCCCATGACTCTATCATAGTTTGTTTACGAACATGTTTCGCCAAAGTATGTTTTACTGCAATTGAAAACTCAGCTGAGTCATAAAAACTACGCTGGTTTTTATGCTTTCATCATTGAGCCTGTTTGTTTTTGTCTTTGAGCTTACAATTAAGAATGTGTTATGAAAAAGTTTTAATCATTTTTATGAGATTGCAATGCTTGACGAGAGGTAAGAACAGTAACTGAGTTTGTTGCTTCTGAATGTTTGGCTCCCGTTTGACAGTTCTGACTGGCTCCCAAGTGACAAGCACATTGAGTTAGTCCGCAGTACACAGTAATAGACCAATCTACATTGATCGATTCTCTTCATCTACTCTCTCTTTCGTTAAGAACTCGGCTCCAAAACATACTCAGCTGTTATTATTGTCTAATACGCTTAATAATAGTTTCTTTTAAATTAGCCCGAAATATGAATGCAGCCAAGTTATCAACGAAAGAAAGAGTGGGTGAAACGAATTGATCAATGTAGTCTATTGATGGTCTATTTGAAAAGGGACGCGAGACTTGTCAAGGTTATCAATCGGATGTCAGTTCCCATAAGTATAAATCTAACATACTATGTATTAGAGTCGGTGTATAATGAGTCACGCCAAGAGTGAAGCCAAGTCTACCTATTGAACTGTCAAACCGGCTACCTATCGTGCAAAGTAAATAAACATGACGATCCTATGAAAGGTCCAAGAAAGGTATTGCAATAAAATATAAAATATAATCGAAGAAATGAGCATAAACACGCAGTGAGCGTTAAATTGTCGTGGGATACGCTCGGTAATGATTAGTAATGAGAATTTCTACTATTTTTTGTTAAGATAATTCGACAAAATCACTGATATAATGATTTACTACAGCCGTTAATTTTTTTCCTCGCTAGAAGTCATTTGAAGTTGATGCAGAAGTCCTCTGTTGCCAAGTTAAAAAAAAGGGAATCTTTCGAAAACCGTGATGCGAGTTCAACTGTTTTTCTCTTGGCGTGACTCATTATACACCGACTCTACTATGTATGTTTGGGGGTGAAATTTTAAAACCAAAGTTGGTTGCGGCATGAAAGTGGTCTGATTTTGATCCAGAGATGATGGATTTTGATGCTTGATACGCCAATCGATAAGAAATTTTTCTACGAATCTGTTAAAATTACGACTATAAAATTTTAAAAGGTCACTATT